GGTTCTATTTGTGTTTCTTGGCTAGGCATCTCTTGATCCTGAAAGTCTTATGGGAAGATACGACAAGGATGGATATGATGGTGGAAAAAGGAGGGGGCTTGACTGTATGTTGTGTAATCCTCACAGCAACCCGGTGGCACTGGATTACTAATCAGAAGGCCGGTGGTTCAAACCCACCAGCCGCTTTCAGAAACCTTATACAGGGCTGCTATGAGTCAGAAACATGCTTGATGGCACATACAATGACAACAACAACAACAACACAGCTAAACAAGAGGAGGTGTAATCAAGTCCATTTCCCAGAGAAGCAAGACTGAGGCCTGAGAGTGGAGCTGAGCATTTTTGCACATGTTCACATACCTCTATTAGCAGAGCTCAGCTGTCCACATCCCTGGTCAGGGGTCTCAGCACCCTACTGCTCCTGGTGTCTGTCTCTCCCACACCCTTCCGGATGACCTCGAGAACCAAAGGGTCCTGGGAGGCTCTTACGCCACACAGACATACCTCACTTAACAACTATTGTTCTTGGGTTTATTGCGATTCACAAACTGAAGGCTGTGGCAACCCTGTGTCTAGCAAGTCTATGGACACCATTTTTTTCCGACAACGTGTGTCTCCGTGTCCCATTTTGGTCATGCTCACGATATTTCAAACTTTTCCATCACGCTCCTACACGCTTCACAGACTAATATCAATGTTACTGTTTCTCTGCACTCAGAAACCCAAATTGTGTGCGCATCACTTTAGTGCGACATTCACTTTACTGTGGTGATCCGGAACTCAAGCTGCGATATTGCCGAGGTGTGTCTGGAGATCTAAACAGTAGAAAGCTACACAGCAAGCACGCAACTGTGGAGCAAAATAGGTTCCATCCTCCTCCTTTGACAACGATTCCAGGTTCAAGTGCAGAACCTCCAGCTCCTTGGAGTTCTGAGCACAAACCTGGTGGCCAGGTGTCTGCGGTTGAGCAGCCACTTTCTCTTCTCTTCTCACTTGGTCTGGATGTTCCTTCTCTCTTCTTCATGTACATACACATCTGTACACAGCTGTCTGCATGTCTAAGCTCTACTGCTCCCTGAGGGCCACTGCACCTCAGCACATCAGCTGAGGGGCCACTCTGGAAAGACAGATTGGGGGAAAGGGCCACACTGGTCCTGGAGGTGAGGCTGGGCCCTGTGGGGTTGGGAGCTCGGGGGTTCTGGGTACCTGACAGGCCCCTGGTGGCACAAACAGTTTGCACTCAATGACTAAATTAAAGGTTGGTGGTTCAAATCCACCCAATGGTGCATGGAAGAAAGGTCTGGCAATCTGCCTCATAAAGATTGTTGTTGTTGTTACGTGTTCTGACTCATGGTGACCCCGTTTCTGAGGAGCAGCTGGTGGGTTTGAACTGCTGACCTTGTGATTCACAGTCCAGTGCTGATCCTTCAATGCCACACCGGAAGTCCATAAAGATTATTGCCAAGAAAACTCTAAGAAGCAGGTCAACTCTGTAACATGTGGGGTCATCATGAGTTGGAATTAGACACCTGAAACTGGAGAGGGGGTTTCATGGGGGTTTCTCCTTGCTCTATGGGGAGAAGTGCAGTGAGATGAGGCCTAGGTACGGCCCTCTAAAGCTGGTTCCCATTCCTGCCAGGATGTAAAGGAGGATCCCACCTTGCTGGTGTGACTGTAAAATGGTACAGCTACTTAGAAAAACAGTCTAGAGGTTTACCCAATGTCCCACCCTCTCTTCCCAAACCATACTGTTGCCTTTTTGAGGATCAAGCTAATTCCTCCTCACCCAGAGGCTGTGAGGTTTAGCTGGAGAATGTTGTTGTTGCTAAGTACCGTGGAGTACAGGGTTTCCGAGGCTGTAAATACATCTTTACGGGAGCAGAAAGCCTCATGTTTCTCCAGTGGAATGGCTGGTAATTTCAAACTGCCAATCTTGAGGTTAGCAGCCCGATTCATAACCACTCCACTACCATACGAGATGAGAATTCCAGATGAGACTAGCGGTGGTGGCTATGTGCCACGGAGTCGATTTTGATCCAAAGTAACTCTGCATAGGGTTTCCGAAGCTGTAAATCTTTAGGAGAGCAGAAAGCCTCATCTTTCTTCTAGTTGGTAATTTTGAACTGCTGACTTTGCAGTTAGCAGACTTGTAACCCACGGCACTACCAGAGTTCCTTTGTTGTTGTTGTTGTTGTGTGCTGTGGAGTCAGTTCCAACTCATAGCGACCCTGCACAGGATTTCCGAGGCTGTAAATCTTTATGCGGGAGCTGAAAGCCTCATCTTTCTTCTGCGCAACAGTTGGTAGTTTTAAACTGCTGACCTTATGGTTTGCAGTCCGATTTGTAACCCCCACACTACCAGAGCTCATTAGTTGGGGGCTAAACTTAAAGAAAATAACAGACTTCTCTGGCTTTTAAAAAAATCTGTAAAATAAAGGCTGGATGAGTAAAATCTCTAAAACCCATTATTTTTTCTCTTCTATCTCTCAAAGCAATAACAGATCTGTAGTAGAAGCCCTGGTGGCACAGCGGTTGAGTGCTCAGCTGCTAACTGAAAGGTTAGGAGTTCAAACCCACAGGCCGCTCCATAGGAGAAAGATTTGGCAGTGTGTTTCCGCAAACATGACAGCCTTGCAAATCCCACAGGGCAGTTCTACTCTGCTCTTCAGGGTCACGACGCCTTAGCATCGATTTCATGCTACTGGGTTTGTTTTTCTTTTCTTTTTTCAGTAGGGGATTCAGAATTGTTTGCTAGATTTACTTGTTATATGATTTAATACAAACACCCTAAGTTTTGTCTTCTCAGACAGAAATGTGTATAGGTGTGTGTTTAGTAGCATGGGGGAGCGTACAACACACATACACACCTATTCCACTTGGTTGGTCCCTCTTGAACCCAACTCACACCTACAGCTGGCCTGGGACCACCTCAAAAGGAAATTTTCAAGACACTGAGGCTTTATGCTCTAAACCTTAACAAAGGCAACGTTTAGTTTCATGCCTTTATTGTTGGAGACGATGAAGCCCTGACTATGTTTCCTTTTTCTTAGTTGGTGCCTGTGAATCATTTCTGTATTTTGAAGCTGTGACTTTTATTCTCCATGGATGACATACCCTTTCCATTCATCCTATGTTGTTTGAGCAAGGAGAGGAAACCCCGTCCCTGGGGACACCTGGTGCTGGCAGCAGAGGCTCTGGGAGGCGCAGTGGGGGAGCTGGGACTCCAATGGGGGAGTGGATGTGGTGTTTCAGATCAACCAAAGCATCATGTGGGCATCCTGGTGCCAGGGGAAATCCCAAGCAGGGTGACCCCACCTTGGGACTTCATATTAATCTGGCAGGGGAGGGCAAGCATAAATTCATCAAAGATAAAATAACACTACAGGATAATCGAAGAATCACTCGAAAGTAGCGGTTTGTGGTCAAATGAGGTTATTTACACAGTGAGTTCAGAGGATGAAGGAAAGTGTGACTTAGAAGTCCCTGAACCAGGGCCAAGGAGTCCTGGTGGTGCAGTGAGTTAGGTGCTGGGTTCAAACCCATCAGCTGCCCTTCAGGAGAAAGCTGAGTTGTCTGCTCCTGTACAGAGTTTCAGAAACCCTACCCCAAACGGACACTATGAGGTGGAATTGATTCAACAGCAGTGCCGTGGGAGCTAGGGCCCAGAAGTCCTGGTGGTGCAGTGGCTAAGTGCTTGCCTGCTAACTGCAAGGTTGATGGCTTGAACCCACCAACCACTCCTTGGGAGAAAGATGCTTCAGTAAAGATTTACAGCCTTGGAAACCCCCTGAGGCCGCTCTACTTTGTCCTATAGCGAATCACTATGAGTCAAAATCAATTCAGTGGCTGTAGGTTTGGTTTTTTGGTTTGGCTCTGGGGTCAGGTGCCAGGGACCAGATGTGTCCAGACAGGCAGGATCTCCACGAATGTCCTGTTCACTACACTGGGGTAGGAGCTAGAGACCAGGATGCAAAGGCCTTTTGCCTATCCGAAGGGCGATCTGATGCTGAGTGTCCATAGGACCGTGCTGAGGGACCAGCCACAGAGCCATCTTTAAACCTTTATTCACAATTACCTTTCCAACCACTGGCAGGAGGCTCCCAGTCTTATCCTGAAGAAGAGCCGTACTGATTCTCCAATCATCTTACCTGGGAGTCCAGGTTGGCAGCGGACTGGACGGTAGGACCACCGAGATCCTTGCGTGTCATGTACATTATTTACGGTTTCCACAGGTTTCTGGAAATGAGATCGTGTCCCCCACTCAAACCCTTGGTCCCGTCCCAAATCTGCAGTCCCTCTCCAGGCCTTAACCACGCACCAGCATTCTCCAGTCCCGGCGCACGGTGGGGGTCTCCCTTCGCCTGCCTCTCTTCTCCTAGGGGTTCTGATCCCAAATACAGGTCCCCAGCCATTCTCGGCACACACGAGCATTCCTGGGTGCGGGTTCGAAGCGCCCATAGGGCACTGGTCCCAGGTCCAGGAAAGGCGGACTGTACGCCCTCCCTCGGGGATCCCCTGGCCCGCGAGTTCTGCTAGCGCAGGCGCTCAGCTGCCGCCGCGCCGCCGCAGCCCGGGGAGGAGCTCGGGCCACGGTCACCATCCCCGCCCGGGCCGGAGGCGGTCCCGGGGGCGGTCCGGG